ACTGACCTCGGGGATGGCACTGGCATTAAGCACCTTGTATCTGTGGAATCAGAGAAAATAGGAGGAAGAAAATATCCACTTATAAGATTGTTCCATTTACTGAAACCAAGAGCAGTGTTTGCAGCAGAATCAGACTGAGGAAGCTGGAATTTCATCCCTCCATACTCAGAGACCATGACAAACTCAGCTGTCTGATGGAGAGCAGTTGGTGAGGACACCTGACTTACCTCTTCATTTCATAGCTCTCACCTCTGTTTGAAGTCAGCATAGAGGACTCTGCTGGGGAAGCCTTTCCTGCAAATCCTGATCCCTTCCAGCACGCCGTTACAGCGCAGCTGGTGCAGCACCAGCTCGTGCTCCATGGCACCTGGCAATGCAGAGCACAAATGAATGGCACAGATTGCAGTGCAGAGGGGAATGGATGGATCAGAGCAAGGATCTTCCTGCCTGAGCAGCTTACCAGGTGTTTTAGTCTCATTGGGGATGATACAGCGCACAAAATGGGGGTGAGTGCTCCGCAGATTGGTCATCAGCTTGTTGAGGTTCTCCTGAGGGATTGTGATTCAGTGTGCATTTGTAAGTAAGGTGGAAAAATAACCCTTTGTATTCTTTGAATTTAATATGAAAGACCCATAAATGGAGATAGACTGGGCTGAAAATTGCCAGCTGAGAATGCTTCAATTAGTTGCTCTGTTCCTCCTGATTCTCAGCATTAAACATCATCTTGTAGGATAAGAAAAACACGCCATCAGCTCAATGAAGGGTAGAAAGTGGGCACATTTTATGACAAAATTTATGTCTATATTAAATGTAAGTTTAGGTTTTTACAATGTCATTTTTCATTCCATAAGATTTTTGTTTGCAATGGTGGTCTAAAGAGAAGATAAATTTAGAATATTTTTTGGTTGGTTGGTTGGTTGGTTGATTGTTGAGTTTCTTCTTTGCCTTTTTTTCCTGTGTCTGAGCCAGCTAAAAGTGCAGAATAATTCTCTGCTTATGTGAAAAGAAAAGGTGTTTACATACCCGGAAAAGAGCTGAGACGGTCTGGAAGGAAGAACCCTTCTTCTTGGCACCTTTCTTGCCACCGCCACCACCACCACCACTAGCCTCTGATAAAGTAAAGATAATGAAATATTGGTTGCTTTGGGGACCAACCACCATGCATCAAAGAGAGGACATTTCAGAGAACTGACCTGCCTCTCCTCCAGCAGAGGCAAAGAGTAAAGCCAGGGTCTTCACAGATGATTTCTGGTACAGCCCAATGACAGTTTCATTCAGAGGGTCCTTGTTCTTCTCCAGCCAGCCAGTGATGTTGTAGTCCACTGTGCCAGCGTAGTGCACCAGGGAGAAGTGAGCTTCAGCCTTGCCTTTGCCAGGCTTGGGCTTCTGGAAGTTGTTGGACTTGCCCAAGTGCTGGTCATAGAGCTTGTTCTTGAAAGAGGTGTCAGTTGCCTTGGGGAACATGCACTCCTCTTCCAGGATGGAGAAGATGCCCATGGGCTGGGAGAAGCAGCAAAAAATAGCAGTGATAAAATACAGGTCTGCCATCAGAAGGGGACTGCAGTAAGGTACAGGAAAATGAGAAATTGGTTACAGGAAAATGAGAAATTGGTTGAATTTCTGGATCAAAAATGGATGAAATCTTTGTCAACTTTTGCATTCGCACTTTAGACAAAATACAAATTTGCATCTGAAACTAATGCATTTAATGACTGATACTGTGACATTAATCACACAAAATTTTCTAAATACTTTTGAAACTGATGAGTTGAAAGATGATCTGATTTTTACATTATCACTTTCACAAAGTAATTTGTACAGTTGAAGGTGTCTTTCTAAACTTGACCTTAGTGTAACAGATCAATAGATCTTTCAGCTACTTGCTGAAACCTTATTTTTTGAAGATGTCTTTCCATTCCTGTACAAGAGGATGTTACACAAAACAGTTTCTGCTCATAGTGCTTTTATTAATTGTTGTTCATCAAGTACTTTTTTTTCTATATACACCTATTATTTTTGTTAGAAATTATTTTTCAGAAATCCTAGTGTTAATATTGAAATAATAATATTGAAATTGTGTCTGGATTCCTGAAAAGAGATCTTTCATTTTTATAGACCAAGAAACTCACTTCCAGAAAATACTTTTCATGAAATTACGTGTGATTACGTTGATGCTTTTTTTGACATAGAAGAAAAACTACATTTAATTTTTTTTTAAAATGAATAGCAGTGTAGTTAATGGATAACCAAGAAGCACTTCATTTGTAGCCTGATCACTAAGGTTTTTAGAACTTACTTTCATATAAATACAATACTGAAATGGCACTTTCTGAATAGCCAGGAACATAAATGAATAATAATGGGTCAGTTTGTAAAACATTAGTGTAAGAAAAAGTAAGCCTAAAGAAAAATTCTGAAATCCTGTCATGAAACTCATAACAAAATCTTAAATGTAATCAACACACCTTCTCAATGAGCTCAATGCAGGCAGCCAGGTCCATGCCAAAGTCAATGAACTCCCATTCAATCCCCTCCTTCTTGTACTCCTCCTGCTCCAGCACGAACATGTGGTGGTTGAAGAACTGTTGCAGTTTCTCATTGGTGAAGTTGATGCACAGCTGCTCCAGGCTGTTGAACTGCTCAGTGCAAAGACAAGATTTACTCATTTTCAAGATAAAGAGCTGCCTGTATAGCTTTCCCCTTCATACCCAAAATCCCATCTCAGAATCCTAGGCAGGATGTCCAATCAAGACAAAAATGTTTTTAATATTAAAACATCCAATTAACTATTTTTAAGGAGTTTTTTTGGGTTTTTTTATCATGTGGGATTTTTTTGGCTTATTTTTTACCCTTTGCTAGTTTAGTTATGCTGAAAAAAAGATTTATTTTTAAATTTAATTTCCTATTTTTTTGTTAGTCTTATTAAGGCAAAATTTACATCACTCTCTTAATTTATGTAAATTTTCCCATTGTCCTTATAAAAACATTAAACATCCTCAGTGTTTGGTAGCTCTGGATTGGACTCGGATACACTCCATAAATATCTATAGAACTTCTCAGTCTGAATTAGAACAGCCAATGTACTCTTCCTGTTGGAATCACCCTTTGGCTATTAAGAAAAAAAGTATATATATATTGGTCTTGTTTTCCAAAACCTTGGTTAACTTCTTTGTGAGACTTAAGTCTACCTTTCTCTTCCTACACTGTAATATTGTATCTTGGATATTTATATGCTATTTGTCTTTGGACTATTTTTAATATTAAGTTCAAATTATTGAAAAACTGTGATATTTGTGCTAATTATGTAAAAGGCAGATGCTTCTTCCTTGTGAGTCATATAAAAAAAATACATATATAAAGATCCATTGAAGCTCATGGATTGGCCTGAGGAAAAGGCACTGACATATAGAATGGAGGAAAATACTTCCAGAAAGTAACAAAGAAATATTTTTCGAAAAATTCACTACTAATTTGAAATTACAAGTGAGTGCAATGTTTAAGAAAAAAACCCAAAACCAAACCACCATAAATACCCAATATCTCTTGACACCTAATGGCTTTAACAAGATTTGACTGATTTCTGTGCTTCTTACATCAAAGATCTCAAAGCCAGCAATGTCCAGGACACCAATGAAGTACTGCCTGGGCTGCTTCGTGTCCAGCTGTTCATTGATGCGAACAACCATCCACAGGAACATCTTCTCATAGACAGCCTTTGCCAGGGCACCCACTGAATTGTACACCTAAACCAAAGAAGATTGAAGCAGAAGAAATACAATATCCAGAGCAAACAGTACCTGATTCAAGTCAGGTTCCCAGTCACCAGCTGGTTGTTGTTACCTGCTGCACAGTTTGGCCCTTGGTCACGTATTCATTCCCCACCTTGACGCGGGGGTAGCAGAGGGCCTTGAGCAGATCTGCTGAGTTCAGACCCATCAGGTAGGCAGCCTTGTCAGCAACTAAGTACAAGGAGAGAGGGAGGAAGTAACAGAAGAGAAGTGATAATTGAAAGATTATATCCTCTAAGATGCAGCTGTTGGTCTCAGCACTGAAATTTTGTGATATCTTGAAGGGAAATTTAGAAGCATGAATACTCTGGAAGCTGAGATTTATGTATTTGTGAAAGTAAACGGAAGAAAAATACATGATTGCCAACTTCCAGCTATGTAACTGTTTCTGTTCTTAGGAGTTCTATAAGATTCTAATACCTTCAGTGCCATCAGGCTCTGCCTGCTCCTCACGCTGCTTCTGCTTGAACTTCAGGTTCCCGTAGTGCATGACAGCCCCTGTCAGCTTGTAGATGGCTGTTCTCTCATCAGCAGTGAAACCCAGGATTTCAATGGCACTCTGGTAACAGAATCAGTCAAATAAACCACCTCTGGATCACTACAAGGAAGTTTCACCACACCAATATGCTCTGTGACACTCACATCTGTAGCCATCAGCTCCTCCTGGTCATTAATGCTGGCGACAGTGATCTCG